ACCATTTGGATGAAGATGTTTATCGAAGCTATATAAAAATCTGAACCGATCTCAATAAAATTTGGCAAATGTTTTTTCGAGATGCATCTGATGTCTGGTATCAAACATCATTGTTGTGCGGTGCATATTACGCATGTGAGTGACTTAAAAGCCCAAATCGGGTGAAACATATAGAGGAGCTATAACTATATCTGAACAGATTTTCTCCAAATTTTATGTACTTACTTCTAGACTGAATTCGGGATGATGTTCCACAATTTGGGCTGATATCAGTTATTTGGTGCACGAAAAAACTAAAATCGGATAAAGATATATATGGGAGCTATATCCAAATCTGAACCGATCTTGACAAAATTTTAGGCACTTATTTCTGAGCTGCATCTGATATCTGGTACCAAATATTATTCTTGTGGGGTGCATATTACGCATGTGAGGAACTTTAGCATCAAATCCGATGAAACATATATATGTGAACTATATCTATATCTGAACCGATTTTCTCCGAATTTGATGTACTTGCTTCTACAAAGAATTCGGTCGGATGGGCCAAAAATTCAGGTCATTTGGAGCACAATTAACCCGAAATCGGTTGAAGATATACATGGGAACTATATCTAAATTTGAACCGATTCTCCCTAATATCTAGGGTTCGTCGTTGGCCCAATTTGGAAAATTTCATCTCAATCGGATAGTAAATGCGACCTGAATTTTGTTCACAAAAATGCTTGGACAGATGGCCGGATGGGCTGACATGCATTAATCGACTCAAAAAGTGATTCTATGACAAACAAATGCACAAAGACATAATACCTTTACCACTATGTGGTGTAGGGTATAAAAAAAAACAAAAACACCAAATTAATTGAGCGCATTCCGCGACAATATGCATGACTGATTATTTGAGTTGAAGCATTTCAATATGAGAAATTAAAATTTAAATGATTCAAGAGCATGTGCACAATATAGGGATAATCGAATTGACTAAATATGACTTATCCTGGCCCTTGATATACAGATATTTCTTGGCAGAACGAACTTACGAAATTATATTCTCAAATTTGAGAAATTGAATATGTACTATCATTAAACGTGGAGTAACAAAGCCAAGATTTTTTTTGGTTAGATTCTATAAAATACAGCAATTTTATTTGAGTTGTTAGTTCTTCTCCCTTTACTAAAAAAATTTACTACAACTATACTAACATATGTTTCTTTTTATATATGTATGTATGTCGGCCACCCACCTTCTGCTCATTTCTTATATACTAAACGTGAAAAACCTCCGCTTGAGAAGGGTTGCACGATAATTAATATGGATGATGTGTGTCGAAAGAGTTTCGATAACTGTGACTCAAAAGAAAAATCATAGGTTCCCAAATATAAAGAGAAATTAATAAATAGTCCATGCACCCTCTGTCGTTCGTTCACTAGCTCATTCATTCATTCATTCGATCATTAAAGAAAATGAAATTATTTCCTTTCGATTAGCTGCCATGAAAAATCTCGGCGTGCTAAACGTTTTCAAAGAAGTGGTCAAATCCAGTTGGGCAATTCGTGAAAATTCTCCCGTATGCTCCCCTTGCCTCTTTCCTCTATCAAAGGAGAAAAGTAGATAATCCATTTTTCGAAAATCCCACAGCAACCGCACGAAGATAATTTGAACGAATGCCTTCATGTGGGCTAATGGTTTTTGGCAAAAAATTGATTTTCTTTTTCGTTTTGAAAGGAATGTGCAGCGCATGTTGTTGCTACTGAAATTGCCACATCAATTTTGTTCGACAAAATGGTTATTGTTGATTTTGGAATGGATTTCGCCGAATCACTGACATGCATACACACACTGACACGCAGACTGAGCGATTTATTTTTTAAGAATATTGGCATATGCGCTAAATTAATGTAAAGTAAATAAACTTTAGAGCAAAAAAAGAACAATACAAAAGATCAAAAATGAAAAAAAAAAATGAAACCGAATAAAATATGTGTACATACAAAACTGCATGGATATTTATTGACAAAATTAAGAAAAGCCGAAGGATACGGCTAATAAAAAAATTAAGCTATGTTTCTTGCAGTCTCGTCAGCAACTCAACAACATATTTGATAAATATTTATGAAGAATGATAGAGTTATTAACATCTAATCTAGTTTTTTTTTTCAGCGAAGAAATAAAGCATTTTTAGTTGTGTGACAGCATATCCGTGAAGATAAACTGTAAACTGTAGAATAGACAATAATAATTTACAGCAAACACAGTGTAGAATCAACATTCAAAAATGATCATATTTATGCTTTATAGTTGTAAAGATCTGGAGGAATACTTTCCGAATATAAACATTTTTATAACTGAATGTATTAAAAAAGAAATTTACATGAGCTATAAATATAAGAAAAGATGATTTATTCTATTAAAATTTGCATTTTTGTCTCTAAAGGTTCTGCAGCATGAACGAAACAATGTCCACTCTTAAGAGAAACAGGTAAAAAGACATTAAGTTGGGCCGGTCCGAACTTCTAATACCCTCTACCATTAAGTAAAGAAAACATTTTTATGCAAAAGTATTTGGATTTCAAAAAAAATGGTGATTTGTTCCTTTACTAAAACGGGATTAGGTATTTCCATTTTCTACGGTCTATACATCAAACAAATGCCGAGCCACTGTATCGAAACCATTGACCAATATTGACAATGTTTTGGCACCGGTTGTAGAACCCATTATGAAGTACAAATACCAAACCGTTATATGTGCGCTATAGGAAAACGTGGACCTAGATATTCAATGTTCTGCCACCGGAGCTAGAGCCCATTACAAGCTACAAATACCAATTTTTAGACAAATCCGTGGAAAATGTGGGTAAACCCGTCAAAATACCGAAAATCGGGCTATACGAAAACGACCAATATAACCAATATTCTGTCACCGAAGCTGAAACCCATTACTAACAATAAAAACCATTTTTTAGACAAACCCGTGGAAAAATGTGGCAAAAATCATCAATATACCGAATATCGGGAGGTACCCTTATATGGAAGCCGTACGAAAATGCAATGTTCCGCCACTGGAGCTAGATCCAATAACGAACTACAAATACAATTTTTCGACATATTGCTGGAAAAATTTGTCTTAAACCATTAAAATACCAAATATCGGGAGCTACCATTATATTGGAGCCATCCTAAAGCGTGGACCGATACATCTCATTTTCAATACCAACCATCCTAGACACAATTCAAACTACTGTGTCAAATTTTCAACTTTTGTCAAATTTTGGTTTCAGGCAGACAGGCAGACGGACACACAGACAGACAGATGGACATCGTTAAATCGACTTAGAATTTTATGCTGATCATGAATATATATACTTTTTTGGGTTTATGACGAATATTTAGAGGTGTTATAAACAGAATGGCCAATATAATATATCCTCCTCTCTAAGGTGGAGGGTATAAAAATAGTGAAGATGCCAAAGACTGTTTAGACACGTAATTTTTCACGATGCCACTTCTGGAACACAAAATATTAAGAATTTTGGACATTATAACTAACCAAACTACAACAAAAAAATTTAAATGGACAAATAAATGATTTTGTTGTGTTTTTTCACAATTAGGCCATTTAAAAACTGAAATCTATTCAACCTTAAACAGGAGTATGACAGAGATTTGACATCTCTAAAGAAATAAACAATTTTTTAAATTGTGTGTATTATATAAATTAAAGTGTACAGTAAGAATGACGAACCAGTTTTATAAAGTAAAAATTAAACTATTTTATTAAATGTATTATTTTTTGCTTACAAAGTGCTAAAGTGAAAAAGCGAAAATCTTAAAAGTGTAAATATTGATGATTTTAATAATTTGCCCAACTTTAATATTTCCTAATTATAAACATTCACATTATTTGTCTTTATTTTCAATATACAAACACAAAAGTCCTGGCAGTTCTGTGACGTTTTTCTGTAACATTCATATAAAGGCATGTGTTCTGGTATTAGGTGGACCTGTAACAGTGGTTTGAAATATAACATTTGAAATATATACATATAGAATTAAGTAAACCCAGGCATAGTATCCTGCCTGTGGCTAAAATCTTCCAAATACCGAACATGGAAATTATGGACAATTCTTTTTAATTAGAAGTTGCAAACGGTATGGCTATCTTAAAATGCCTTTCATAGTATAGTGGGTGGACGGTGGAGTGTGGTGTATATACCATAACGAAAATCCATTCCAAAATTGTTCCATCTATTGACCAACAAATCTCACATTGGCATATGGCCTGATCTTCATCGGTAGATAGATGAAAATGGACGCTTGTCAAGAAAATGTATGTATAAGCATATAGGTACACTAAAATATCATGATTACTGCAAATAGTTACACATGGAAAAGGGCCTGTCGTTTTGTAAAATATATATACGGGTACATATTATGATTTGAAACTATTTATCGCAGATACCCTTGCGCGTTATATATAAACAGGGATTTCGAGAGAAATGTTCATATATATTAACTGGTGTAAGAGCAAAAACTCCCCTCAACTGCGAAAGTAACGCACATCTACTTTCTGAGTAATCCCAATGGATTTCACATCAAAAACACAACATTCCCGGCTCGCCTATATCTGCCCCATATATTTTCCAGGTAAGTATGCACACATCCACCTACTCACATTCATACCCATTTATGTATATTATTATGTGTATGTGTGTGTATCCATAATTTTCTTCCAGCCCACTAGGAAAATGATATGACATAATTCGTTCGGTCTGCTAAATGTTTATCTCTTTTCATTTTTTCGTTTCTCAACTCGAAAGCATCAGCTGATCGTAGAACAGGTTCACGAATGCTCTTTTACATCGACTGTCGACTGTCCGTCTGCAAGTCTCTCCCAGCCGCTGCCTGTCTGTTTTGTTTGGCATTGCGTTGTTGTTGGTGTTGATTCACTGAGTACAGCAAGACATAGCAAAAAAAAAATAAAAACAAAATAAAACTTTACCTTCTTCCAATTGAAGCTTAAGTAGACACGAACGACGGCGAACGGTATTGAACGCGAGCACCCAATTGAAAATTTTTGTACACTGTTTTAGGAATAATTTATGTTTTTCATCGGTTCTCGATTGTTATTGTTGTAGTCTTTTCTTGTTATTTATGTTGATTGTTGCACACTTTTGTGCCTGTTATTGAATGAGTACAGATAGTATGACCCTGCATATGACGTATGTGTTTATGTACATGCATAGATACACGGATGCATATGTGTGTATGTTTAGGTCTCGTCGGCAAGTGGGCCGGGCAGGCGGGAATCGGCCAATTGTATCTTTTCACACGCAAACAAAAACAAAGTTGGAGTTGAACTGCCACTACGGCCGCCGAACGAAAAAGGAGATTATCTCGTGTTTGACTTCTAGTTAATACATGTTACATATAAACGCGCGCGCACATACACATGCCCATCGTGTAATTAATGCACAATGTTCTGGGAATGGGGCGAAATTTCAACCTTTTGTATCTCTGTTGCTCATCCCGCTGGCTGGGTGCACACTTCGAATTGGAGATTGATATTTTCCGCACTCACATCACTTTTGTTTCCAATCACTGCGTTCTCACAATTCAGTTTCGGTTACTTGGTTCTTAATTTTGCGATTCTAGTAGATTTGGAAATTATCACTTAAGATTTTGCATCTGTACGAGACGTCCGTCAGTCGGCTCGTCGTTCACAGATATCTCTTCATTCACAGATAATGTTTCATTTTTTTCTTTCTACACCCCGGACGGACCAGCCAACAACTCTCCAATAGATTCTTTTGCTTGTGTGATTTATTTTCCGTGGAAACAATTGCCCTGGCCAAAATTAGCCGTCCGTCGTTGGTAATGTTTCACTCACTATGTATATTTTTCTTTCTGGTTTAATTTTGTGTATATAATTATTTTTGCTGTTTGATTTTGCTTAGTACATACATACAGACGGGTACCGTACACATTCTCACACAGCCGACACGAAAAAATTCTGCACGATATTGAACGTATGACAACGACTAGGGATACGTAAGTCGACTTTTGCCAATTGTAAAAATCGCAAAATCGACTTTTTGAAATCGATTTCGATATTGTGGGATAATTAATTTTTTGGTCGACTGCATGATAGAAGAATACAGGTAGTATCATCTTCAATTCTGAATGTCAAATATACCACACGATGGTTGCAACAATTAATTGATTAATTAATTTTTAAATACTTTGCATACGATTTCGCTCAGAGCTTGTAAATATATGTATTTTTCATCAAATATAAACTGATTTTAATGCTTTTCACTCGCAAAATTTAATTTATAAATTATTTGATACTTGAAACCATGGTACAATGAAGAGAAGGTAGGCTAACTTTGAAAAAATTGCAAGAATAGAGGTCTACCTGTTTGGCTTGTAATGTCAAAATTACTATCAAAACAATAAAAAAGCAAACAACTTGTTGCATTGATTTTGAATAAATAATTTAAAAACGCGAAAACTGAATGAATGGTCAAAATTTCTTTTCAATATCATGTTCTATATATCTCTTATGGTTTATTTCGCGAAGAAAACTGTAGATTTTGTCGATGCATACGTTGAAATAAGCATTTTGAAAACACCCTAATTTGAATATTTTCTGATTTTTTTTATTGAAAAGAATACACACACATAAACAAACTAAGTTGACATATTAAGCCAGAAAAATAAAAAAATTAAAATCATATGGTAGTTCTGCCCTACCTTGAATTCATTGTACCATACTTGAAACCATGGTACAATGAAGAGAAGGTAGGCCAACTTTGAAAAAATTGCAAGTATAGAGGTCTACCTGTTTGGCTTGTAATGTCAGAATTAGTATCAAAACAATAAAAAATTAAACAACTTGTTGCATTTATTTTGAATAAATAATTGAAAACCGCGAAAACTGAATGAAGGGTCAACACTTCTTTTCAAAACCTGGTTCTATATATCTCTAAAGGATTATTTCGCTACAAAAACTCTAGATTTTGTCGATGCATACATTGAAATAAACATTTTGAAAACACCCGAATTTGAATGTTTTCTGAACAATTTTTTGTTATTGAAAAGAAAACACATACATAAACAAATAAAGATGACATATTAAGCCAAGAAAATAAAAAAATTGAAATCATATGGTATCATAGCCCTACCTTGATATTATTGTACCATGTATATATATATATATATATATATATATATATATATATATATATATATATATATATATATATATATATATATATACACATATATATATATATATATATATATATATATATATATATATATATATATATATATATATATATATATATATATATATATATATATATATATATATATATATATATATATACACATATATATATATATATATATATATATATATATATATATATATATATATATAACTTGAAGTAAAATAATAAAATTTTTATTTTCTCTAATGTATTTAATACATTGAATGTAATAAAACTTGAGTACCTTTTTTATGTATAGTGTAAAATTTTCAATAAAATTTACTTGAATACAAACTACATATAAATTATTCAACTTTTTACAGTTTGGGCGGATATGGTCGATTTTGGGCGGTTTTTAGAAAAAATTTGGGCTGAAATACAAATTTCAAACGGCAACACTGGTCTTGTCCCATCTTTATACTTCTATGTCTTTGTTAATACTTCCACGATATGACAGCATTTTTCTCCAACATATTTTCTGATTGGGTAGCACTTCTTGTTGTCTTCTCTCATTCGTTTGTGGTCTGGATCTCGACTTTTATACAAGTGTATGGCAAAAATAATTGTGTAGAGTTACTAAATCAGTAGCGCCATCTAGAGATAAAATATGAAATGATATATGAATGTCACCTTGTTATCCGGTTTGTATCTTTACTACTGTACTTTTTACATGGCTTATGGTTTTAAGATACAAAAAAATAGATATCTTGTTTCTTAACCGTTGGTATTACCAACGACCAAATGGATAAATGGTTGCCATCTGTACTTGATGTTTAACATATTTATCGAAATATTTTGTTTATCAGGGCAGTAAACCATAAACTAAATGTGTAACACGAATGTAGTTCTTGTTTTTTTCGCTAGAGCCACACCAGGCAAAAATAATGCGGGCCGTTGGGTTGTGATGTAGGTCTTCTTATTATTTGACGTGTATGTATATACATATCATGGCGCAATGAAGACAAGGTAGGGCATTACAATCACCTGAATACAATTTTTTCTTTTGGTAGTAATCGTATTAGGAACAAGATATTGTGAAAAAATTTGAAGTTACAAGACTCCAGCTTCAGGGTTGTCCTTTAAGCTTAATCATTCTGTCCTACATTGTAATTATTGTACCATGTCACATATCACCCACTATACGCACTCTAAAAACTCATCCTTTTTAATTTATTTCCTAAAATTTTACAATTTATGGCATAAAATTGTCAATTTCTTACAATAAATAAGAAACTATAAATGAGAGTAATACAAAGTTTAACTAGTGATAAAGTACCGTTTTTCGACTAATTTCTGGAAAAACTAATGAAAATGTTGTTTGTGTATTTTGTGACACCTGAAAATTGTAGTAGTTTTTATTTCTATTGCAATTTAGTGTCTCATTTATATAAATGTTGAAAATTATGTTTATGTTTTAGCTAAAATTATCTAGGATTAAAATATTTTATGCCATAAATTGTGAAATTTTAAGAAACGAATTGTAAAATATGAAATTTTGATAAAATTGAATTTTTGAGTTCGAATTCATAAATTGGACGACTAATTTCAATACACGTCGAAAATAGTTTTTTTTAACTCAATTCTTATACCAAATGTCAAGATTTTAGCTTTACCCTTCACATAATATTAAATTGTACCGAATATGAGTTTATTACGGTATTTTTAGTACAGTTATGGTTCGAATTTTCAAAAAATGTTTTGTACCCTTAACCTTATCTCACATATATGGAAAATTTCAAAATTTTAGCTTCACTCGTTTCGACTGAACGTGAATATATTATATTACGAATATTTTTTCATTCACATTGCTTTGTGCTCAATTTTGGCTCCAATCAAGGGGCCCAAGAGAGAATATCCATGATTCCTATATTACATTAAAGATCCTATGCCGTAGTTTTTCTATTAAAAGTGAAACGAAAATTTTTTCTCCTACCACAAACCACGTGTTGGTTGCCAAATTAGTACATTTTGTTTTGCAAAGTAGGCGTCCAGACTTTTAATACAAAAAAAAAAAAATAACAATAACAGACGTATGAATGAAAACTTAAAAATGTTGATCTCTAACTTACCAAGAATTTTCGTTAATTAGCACAAATACAAAGATATAGAAATTTGAAGTTATCAAAAATTGTCTGTAATTCTGTCGTAAAAAACTTACAAAAACCCCTACAGGTGAGATGTGGACTCTTGACAACGCATTAATATTTCCTGACTAAAAAGAAAGTAATGTACTTCGTTTCTTCGTCCTCCAGCGGATAATTACCCTTTTTCTTATAACAGTAAGAGTGTTGGCATGAGCCTGCTTCTAGTACACCTGTGTAAATAGCCATTTAAATAATGTTTATTTCGTGAATGTTAGTACTTAGCTCTTGTCGGATTTGAAAGATAATTAGTTTTATTTTTGATCCAAATTCACAATTGTGTCATTTTTCTTCGATAATGAGGAAGTAGTGGTCTTTACGTTATCGGGCTGTTGAACGATTTTTTTTAAGAAAAATGTAGAGGAAGAAATTGGGAACATTCGGTTTCAACAGCTACACTCGATGTTTTGTACTCCCTTTTTGAAGATCGCATTATCAACCGCAGAGCTAATGTCGGTTGACCACCTCGGAGTTGAGATTTGACTCCGATGGACTATTATTTGTCCATGCCGTCTAAGATAAGTGTTACGCCGACAAGCCAGAGACAATTGGGCAATATTCGTGAAGTCATTGGTAATATACAGCTGCTCAAATTCGATAATATAATTAAATAAAATTTCCACCGATCGTGTAGGCAACTGCGTGTCAATCGAGGTAGCCATTTGTCTTAAAAAAATGAGAAAGATATTCAGTATTTTTTTTATATAAAAGTCTTTTTGGCGGAATTGATCCAAATTACCAGTTAATGTCTCGTTTTTGCACAGATTCCAGTGAAGGATATTGTGAACATTAACTTTCCACTTTTTCCAGTTTTATACCAAGGGAACGATTTGCAAATCCCCTGGTCAGCGAAATTTTATTATAAAAATATGAAAAAAATACCCTACCATCGTCTAAAGTAGATGGTTGTTATGATCTACTTTAGATAAATTTCCAATATAAACTATCAATTGATTGTTTTTGAATGGTAATAATGGCATTAGAGCAGTTATAATTTGAAACCATATTTCAAATTAACCAATATATGGGGGTATGTTATATTCTGAACAGTTGTCCACTAAATTTGACGGAGGCACTTCGACTTTGAGAACATTTGAAATAATACTTATATTTCGGAGCTGTAGCTATATAGTATTCGATTTTTACCAACATCCATCCTATTTGAGCTGATATTGCACTTTTGGTGTCCAATAGACGTGACATCGGACGAAAAAAAATGTAGGAGCTATTTCCAAATCCAAACCGATCTCTATAAAATTTATGAGATATATTTCTATGTATATAATATATATAATATTATATATATATATATAATATATAATACATATATATGCGAGCTATAGCTATATCTAAAGCGATTTTCATCAAGTTTGATGCACTTGCTTCTACGCTCAATATAGTGGGATGTGTTGAAATTCAAATTATTTGGACGATAAAATTGAAATCGGATGAAGATATGTATAGGAGCTACATATATATTTTTGGACCGATAGTCATCGTCCTTGAGCCAAACAAATAATTTGTGATTTGTTTACAAAAAATACATGGAGAGACGGACGGAGGGACATGCATAAATCAACTCAGAATATGATTCTATGCAGATCATCAGAAGAAAGTAAGCAAAGTCTGTAATCGTATACGGTCGAGCATGTGATACCGTACAGCACTACAATATATTAAAACAAGTTAGCAAAGGCTACAGTCGTGCGGGGCCGACTATGTTCTGCCCTACAACACTACACTATGTTAGAAGCCCCCTTATGTCCAAATCCATATTGGAAGATTTCGCTTTTGAAATTAGGATTTTGACTAGGGACATTTGCCAAATATTTATATAATCTAATGGTCATCCAAAATGCTAGAATTCTTCCATGTCCTTAACTCTCTTCACAGGCGTGCCGATTGGCTTCAATTGTGTGATCGGAAAGACCTTTCTGTTTTTGGTTAATTTGAACCCCTAAATATTTTGCAATCATCTCCAAAAGCAAAAAGCCCCTCTGTATCTCTAAATTCAGACTCATCTATATGATTTGCTTGTCTACGATATTTGGCAATATTCGTCAACGAAATCAGCATAAAAAAGCCAGAAGTTCGCCTTTTGTATATTTCGGATATCGCCTGTAAGTAATGCTGTTATTTTTTCACACAAAATTAGTGGTCCATTTTACTCGCTGTCCTAAACTCTAACGAAAATTTCGTGTCCTTTGGTTTCTATTTGTGACCTTTATAACGGCTACAAAATCAGGAAAATTTTTAGTTGTTGGTCCATTTCAACCCCTAATATATTGCGGACATCTTTGAAAACAATAGGCCTAGCCCTTCTGAGCCCAACCCTACCCTTGTGAACATTTTAAGTGACGATCGGACGATATTTGCAATACTTATATAATATCCCCAACCTGTGTTGTAAGGTGAAAAAAATATTACAAAATATTATAAGTCAAATTGAAGAAATCACATGCGATAAAAAATATGAAAAAATAAAAAAATGTCACAAAAAACTACAAAATCCTTATTAACATCATTATTGACATATTTTTCTGCGATTTTTTTTATTGTATACTTTTTTGTCAAGAGGGCAAAATTTGTCAAAATCGGTCCAGCCATTCTAGAGATATAAGCATTCTAGCTAACTCCCCTTCCTTTGTATAGACACATTGTATATATTTCGCTATATATAACCGATATATTTACTATCGGCATCTACGTAACGGTCAGAATTGACCTGTTCGTCTATTTGTGATTTCGCCGGGTTAAAAATATTCGCGGTTTAATGGAAAATTTGACTTTTATTTAACACAAAAGTTGTGGCCTATTTCACCCACTAAATATTACCCGATGATCATCAAAATTGGAAGGCTTCTGCCCAGCACTAAGCTCTAGCCCCATGCTAGATCAATCCGTTTTGATTGGTCTATAATTGCGACCTGTAGAGCAACTGAAAAATCATTAATTTTTTTAGTTTTTGGTCCAAAAGAAATAGGGTTTTATTCTGACCCTAGCCCCACCGCCATTCTAAATTTCGTGAAGATCGGGCCATAATTGCGACCTGTAGAGTGATTACAAATTAATATGGACAGACGGACAGACGGACATACCTAGAGTGACCTGTAGAGTGATTACAAATTAACATGGACAGACGGACAGACGGACATACATAGCTAGATCGACTCAGCTCGGCGATATAGGAAGATCCATGTGTACTTTCCTATGTGGGAAACCAATATTTCGAGGTGTTACATAATTTTTGGCCCAATCAAACTTATAATACCTCCATAAAAACCCTTGGGTCCAAACCCATTTTCGTCAATCACATTTTTGAGAAATGCAAAATAGTTGGGTAAAAATGTTGCCTTCGGCTTTGAACTATGACATTTGCCCTTTATTTACTTCCTCAATCGTGCTAAACGGTATTCCAAATTCACACAAAAGTTGCACAACATGATTTATTTT